TAGTGGTTAGAGCATAGAGCTTGGAATCCTGAGGTTCTGAGGTAAATTTCTCCAAAGTGAAATCAATAAAGTTCAATTATTATTATTGTTATTATCTCTCTACATGATGTTAGTAGGAGATAATAGGACAATAAGGAACTGCATTATAAAAGAAAAATGCATAAAAATGCTTATAAGAAAGTTCTTAATGATATTTTTCATTGACTGATATCATGTTATGCTTTTGACCACAATAACTGACCTAAGAGAAATCGTAATTTCTTAATTTCCAATGATTTTGCATTAAGAAGATAAGACGGGGGCCATACTTCGGTGGAACAGTTGTTACCATGCATGGCCCATATATATGGAGGCGCCTTGGCCGACCCAGGTTTGAATCCCACCTGTGGTCCTTAGCCACATGTCTCTCCAGCTCACTCGTACCCCCTTTCCTGTCAGGCCATTGCTAGAAAAAAGGGACACTAGTGCTGTAAAAACCTCAAAAAAATAAGAAGGCGGCATAGCAGTGGGCATTTATCGCATCACTTATCATCATCATGATAAGTTTCTATTCATGAGAAGAATAGTGAACTTTAGAAACTGGGTCAATTGTCAAAAAGTCTATTTCTACCTTTTTTTTTCATTTCCTTTCATTAAATTTTTCCCCCAAAAAATTGAAAGAATATGACTAAATGCAGTTACTACAATATGTTTATTGGGGTCGCAGTACTCTGAGTACCGATGGACAAGGGTATAAATGTGAATTTTGGCCTGATGGGTTTATGTAGGTATGTATATGCTTGTTTACATGTATCTATGTATGTATGTTTAAAAATCATATTTAAGTGCTATTAGAGGGAGAGGGGGTATGAAAAATAAATTGTACTTCTGGATACCTCTTTTCAGACAACTTCCATTAATCAATGTCACTTCTCTGGCTCCATATACCGATAGGTTTATTTGATAGAAGGTTTTGTTTCTGCTTATGTTCAGGTGAATTTAATTAGTTCGGAAATGTTAACAAGTTTCCTTTGTGTGTATTTGGTTGATTAATCTATTGTTGTTTGTCAAAATTGTGTGAAATAAATTACTATTCATTCATTTATATTTGTAATTGTGAATGTGGGACTATGATTGCTGCGCTAAGCAGTCACAGTTACCTAAGAAAGACTGAAGAAGAAATGTCCTTTTTCATCTCTTTTATCGTTATCACGATTATATCACCCAATATACAGATAAGATTTTAAGTGCATACTTGGCAGACATGGAAATTTTGTCCAAATACTAAATGCTGTTAATGGAGAACAACCAATCCAGACCCCAATGTAGTTAGGAATATGGTTAAATATATTTCCAAAAGCGAAAAAGGAATCTTAAAAATACAAAAATGGACAGGCTTACTGAGAGCAGTAGGACATGAGAGTAATGAACAACAGCTACTGGTTGTTCATTTGTACAAACATTCTTCCTTTTCTTTTCATAATAACAGCGTTTGCTTATGTTAAGCCTGGAAAAGACTGTTGCATGATTTATTACAAATAAACTGCATCAAAGGCAATGTGTTGGCATAGGGTCCAAATATTTATACACAGTCTGAATATTCATCTAATCAAATCACAGTATTTCACCCTCTCTCTTATGTTCTCTATTCTCTTACTGCAAAAGCTGTCTAGCAAACTGATCAGGTAAAATGCCTCATTAAATGCCTCAAGTAACCATGTGATTCACTATGTGGCAGTTAAAACTACCCTGCCTTTGTCGCAGCTTTGCTTACAATGGTTTCCACTGTCATTCAGGTTAAAGGATCCAGCAGTTGGTGTATCATCGATTGTTTCAGTCAGTTTTAGAAACCAAGTTTCTACACATAGGACAACGAATTGGACTGTTTTCCCTCTTAAAGTCATTTGCAAATCGCTAAGGTAAATGCAGACATATGAATGATATCGGCAAAACAGGAAATAATGTTATCCAGGTTTCTTAAAATGCAAAAGATAAAGAACAATAAAAAAAAATAAAGTGAGCTCAGCCCATTGAGGGAGATGGGGCATGCTTGCTTTTAAAAGCCACAAAGCTTGATGGGCTTAACACAGATTTAAAAAATGAACCAAATTATAAAGAAAACCACAAACATGTCAGGAAAAAGAAAAGAGGAGAGAGATAAAATATATGTGGGCGTGCGTCATGACAAAGAAAAAGATAAAACAGCAAATAAAAGACCACACAGAAACACCCTGAAGGGGTTCAATTACTGCATTTAGATCAAAGTGGGCAAAAAAAAAAAAAAAAATCTTCATCTGTGGCTGATTAGGAGAAACAGACAAAAGAACATTCAAAACAGGAACGGATCCTCTTTCCATTGTGGTTTCAGAAACCATCGCATATCATTGAGTTTTTTTCCATGCGCCTGAAAATAACCTCTATGAAGTTCCCATTTAGTGTGAAATAAGACCCTAAACTGACAAAACACCCAGAAACAATCCATTGCTGTATTATTCTCGGTTTCAATCACATAAACGATGCGGCACAGATTCTTGCATGTTTGTGGATCTCACAGGACCCACGCTCATTCCAAACGCAATTACAACCACTTGCACACGAAGCAGTAAAATCAGCAGTTTCACAGGAGACCCTATGTTGTCTTCCAAGCTGTTGAACAGAATAAGAGGCTTCTCCATCTTCTTAACCCAGTGCAATTTGAAGTCATTTGCAGGCAATACAACCACTTTCCTGGACATAATTCCCTTATAAATGATGTGGCCCATTTCTCTCTGCCCTAATGACGGGAAGCTAAATAACTGCTTCCCTTGCACATCTTAAATATCACCATCTGAAATCAATACGCCTCTGCTGAAATGTTATCAGCAGCCATATTAATCCCTCACCTGGCTTTAATCGCTAATTTCATTTGCTATTAAGCTGATGAATGGGGTTTTAAAAAACTGAGCTATTCCTTACAAATTCCAGAGAACTAATTCATCAAGGTCACAATCGCGCTAAAGAAATATTGGCCGGCGACACGAGGGGAGGCCATTTGTGAAACGGAGGACCAAGATAATGAGGGTTTGAAATGGACAATTTAGATTGGAATGAGAATACACAAGATGGTTTTTCTGCTGTTTGCATCTGTATCCGAGTCCAATATCAGAAAGCAGATAGAGTAGCAAACAAGGTGGGGATATGATAGAGAATTACACAAGTCTTACAAAGGGAAACTAGCTTGCTAGTTTAAAGAAAAACAGCACCATCTAGTGGTGGTTTAGCATTCGGCTGAATTATTTTCTTCCCTCTTGTTTCAATAGTGTCTTTTATTTAAAAAAAAATGTTGTCACATTATAACCACAAAGCTGATTGTGTTTTATTAACTTTATATGTTGTAAGTAAACTTATATGTAGCATCTTCCAATTTTGCACATCTATAGACTAAAATTTGTGCCGGTTCTTATACACATCAAGCTCAGTCAGACTGGATGGAGACTATTTTTGAAAAAGCTCAGTAAGCTAACATTCCTACCATCATCTGGGTTATGATTGAAAAAAAAGGATCCTAAACACTAGGGCTGGGTATTTTCGCCAAAGTCCTGAATCGATTCGATTTTGATGAATTCTCAAATCAGTTCAAATCGATTCAATCTGTTTTTACAATAATGAAAGTGGTTCAACTGTGTTTCAAAATACTCATGTCTTTTAATTTTTCCTGTCACATTAAACACAAAGTGCAAACTTGTAAATCAGACAAATTAAACTTGAGATGTGATCAAAACTGTCTCATAAGTGTAAACTTCAGTCTTCAGTCAACCTATTGGCTATATTTGCAGCTGTCTGGCTTGAAGTAATCTTGAGCGCATCTTTCCTGCTCATTTGAATGTGAACGTCACACACGTCACTATAAAACTAATAGATCTCATTCCCTAGTCGTTGATTTAGCAAAAAAGTTAAAGGAATCGATTCAAAATCGATTAAATCGATTTTTTGTTTTTTTACCCAGCCTTATCCAGCACATTATCTTTAACTGTTTTAAATCCAAAATGGTGCCAGACATCAGACTTCAGTTGGGACAGCTTGCTGAGCGGTGTGTTACTTGGGTCGGCATTTGCACACGCCTCATTTCAATGTGATCGTCACACGGGTCACTATAAAACTAATCGATCTCATTCCCAAGTCGATTTTGCTAAAATGTAATAAAATTGATCCAAAATCGATTAAATCGATTTTTTTACCCAGCCCTACTAAACACAAGCAGCTGAATTTATCCTTATTTGTAGGATGGTGGGTTTTCCCTCAAAGGTAGCATGAGGACCTCGGCCCTCCAGCAGGCTCAGAGTAGAGCAGCTGTTTCAGTCACCCGACTCCCTCCTGACCTGCTGCCTCAATTAAACAGAGAAGTACGAGTATCAAACAGAGATCTGTGAGATGTTCAAATATATACATTACAGTTTGTTGATGCTTTAACGTCCTTAACTTTTTCCCTCTTTTCATCCATCTGCTGTAGTCTTGCTCTCTATAATCCCACTTGTTTTCTAATATTCAAATCTGTGAGGGTTTCACAGAACAAATGGATTCATAATGACATTAGGTTACATGAAAGAGGACTCTATTTACCGTGTTTGCTGAGTTCTGAGCAAAACAGGTTTCACTGAATTTTCCTGATTCACTCCCTCGCCCATGAATCGATCCATGTGCTGTACTTTATGTTTTTGGATTTTTTTGTATTGTATGATCAGAATCGGACATAAACCCATCAAAGTAGCCATCTGATTCCAGGTGGAAAATCTTCAAGCTGCTGATGTTTTTTACTCTCAAGTCATAAATGAATTTCTAACCTCCACGATACCAACAGTTTACAACAAGAGAGCAATAAAGGAAGGACCAAAGAGCTTTTCTAAGCATGTTACTATGAAAATAGTTCATATATATATATATGACAAAAAAAAAACCATCTTCGCACTAAGTGAAGAAGATCAGCAAGCATAAGGGGGAGAACCGTTGGATAATTAAAAGTTTATTAAATGCGTTGAACTGACCTTTTTGTTCTCTTGCAGGTAGAGTCGCTGCAGTTTGGGACATCCTTGAGCCAACGCTATCATGCCTTCATCACTGATCCCATAGCACTGACCCAGGTGAATATCTTTTAACTCCTTGCAGTTTGCTCCCAACTGAAAGCAAAGCAGAGAAACCATTTAGCAGCAAAATATTAGTGAGAGCAAACAAATAAATCAAAGCTCACCTTTATCAATGGTGCATCAGTGAGTCTGTCCTGGTTTCCCACATGCACCTTGACCAGGAGAGGGCAGTGTGTCGCTAAAGCGGTCACTGAGATATCACCCAGCTGCTTGCACCTGTAAGCCGTGTACTTCTGCAGGCCCGGACAGTGGGAAGCCAGAGAGGACACTCCATAGTCATGGATGCCCCTGCAATCCGAGATGTTAATCTCTCTCACATTCTGCTTGCGAGAAGCTATTTTCACAAGGAGATCGTCGTTGACCTGAAAAACAACAAAAAAACAGTTGCCTTATTCGATTGAAAACAAAAGCATTCCATATGAATGCTTATGAGAGACAGGTCAAACTACTAAGGGAGAAGCTATCTCTTACTTCTTGCAAGCCGCTGAGGTCAATTCGCTTCCAGAATTGAAAGTCCAAGCAGAGATCTCTCCAATATTTACAAACCAGAGAGGCACAAAGACAGCGTTCCTTTACTGTCAAGAGGGACAGCACCTGTGAAGACAAAAAATAAAATCAGCATTTCTAGTCTATAATACACAGAAATAAAAATGAAAGGCAGCTTTTATTTCTCTGACCTTAAGAAGGATGGAGGAAGGCAGTTGATTGATGCTCAGCTGCTCGGTGCCATCAGAATCTCTCGCTTGACAGTCGTCATAGTGATGCATGCAGCATGAGGCAGAGTCTGAACTGTTGGACGATTCGGCGTAAAGAGTCAAACCACAGCAGCCATCGGCTGGGGGGGAGGAAGAGGAAGCAGAGGTGGAAGAGGAAGAGGGGATGGGGCAGATGGGAAGGTGGCTGTGACCGGTTTCAGAGTTTAAAGCATCTCCACCTCCTCCCGCTGCCCCGTTCTCTAGCCTTCCGTCAGGAGCGGCAAAGGTGCAGCGCGGCTGCTTGCACGGGGTACACCTTTGCACCTGTGAGCACTTCCTCTTGCACACCTGTATTCAGACACACAAACAGATCAATCAGGTCCTCCTCTGAGACAGCAGATCATAAATCATAGCAGGAGCTTGCATGGTGCGTTCAGGGTAACTTTCTTGGGGCAGATCTTAATGTCATGTAATGATTGTAACACATTCAGGTTTAATTACATCAAACTGGTCATTTTTTCTGCGGATAGGTCTATAACTATTAATTAGTTAGAGATTGTTTGATTCTTTGTTTTGTTTTTTTACCTTACCTAACAATTGAGCTGCAACTTTTATGTATTTTAATTTTAAGATTTTTGTGCCAGATCACAATAAAGTAATGCGTAATTGTCTAGGAAAAAAGTCATAGATTTTAGTTATATAAACATAAACAGTAAAGTGTGTGTTTGTATTGTTACTATCCATAATCTTGAATGGCTGCAGAGTTTAGCGTCGATGCGTACCATCTCTGTGTATTCGCTGGTGCAGCCAGGCACAGGCACAGGTATGGGCACGGTCACTGACACGCCAGCGGCCCGGAAAAGCACCGGTGGTGGGATCAGTTTGGCGGGAACAGCTGATAAAAGACTCCTCCCTTGGCCCTCCCAGATAGAAATCTCTCTCTGTGACAACAGAAACTTTGAACAGTCCTCAGGTGACGCGAGAGCTGCGTATCGTTCGGCCAGCTTGGAGGCAGCTCCCGCTCCGATGCCGACTTCGCCTACCCCCGGCACGCTGATTCCAGTGATGCTGTTGCGCTGGCACCCGATCACGCCGTCGTCCAGTTGATCGCTGTCGTCGTCGAGACTGCTGCTGTTGTTGTTGTGGACGATGAAGCAGAGCATGCACGGTCCCTGAAGGAAACAGTTCCTCTTCTTCTTCCTGTGATGTAACTTGCGTGTCCTCTTCTTCAGGCGTAGACCATTTTTTGAGAGAAGATGGCCCATATAGATGATTCAAGGAAACTCCTAAAAATCATAAACATTTGTTTAAAAAAAAAGTCAAATTACCTGATAATGAAGACGTATCAGACCAGCAGGTTCTGCAACAGCTTTTTTCCCCACTGCCATCAGACTGTTGAACTATTTAACTCTAAACAGAACTCCATCACACCCTTCACTTTATTTGCACTACCAACGCAGCTAAAAAATTTAATAATCTTTTAAAATGGGACCCAACGGAATGTTAAACTGCATTTTGCATCATATTTATTTTGCACTGCACTGAGCCTTTCCATTTTAATGCCATTTTGCATCATTATTTTTTAAACTGGTTTTCCTTCCTATACTGTTTACATGATGATCACAGCTGCACTTTATGATGTTAATGTTGATTTCACTGTTGGAAGCTGTAAGCAACGTAATTTCATTTTGTATACACTTAATATACACAAAATGACAATAAAGTTAGTCTAAGCTGCTCTGCTGTTTTACTACTAAGTCTAAAACCAACACCTGCTTCTTGCGTAGAAGGGGTAAATAAGATAGTCCACCTACACGGTCTTGACTACCCACAGGTTACACTGTACAACACTTCTGATGGATATTATTCAGAGACTGTACGCCCAGCAGCAAGTCAAGAACTACTAATTCAAAGGAGCTGATCATTAATTTCTGCAATGCTATTATCGAGTTTCTAAAGTGTTGTTTGGCTTATCCAAAAGTAGAACAGCTGCAAACTACAATGATTTATTAGGTTGGTGAGGAGGATCATCAGGGCTCACCTCTCTGTCCTTTTATAGGGTCCAGGCTGAGCAAAAGGGCAGCTAAAAGCTTGCTCGACATGAAGGCCTTAGTCCTTAACGTGGCTGTCACAGGTCCGACTCCCGGCCCTTTAACCTTTGCTGCATGCCCACCGCCATGTCTCCCAGACTCATTTTCTCTCATCTGAATGTCAAATAAAACTCTGATAGAGCCTTATATGGAGTTAGTTTACTATTATCTTTTCTAACATAGAAAGTTTCTATAGATCAGTGCTTCTATGTTCCCTCTACATCTTCTTCTGTTTCCTTGAACCCCAGTCAGCCTCAGCAGATGACCACCCACACTAAGCCTGGATCTGCTAAAGGTTTCTTCCTCTTAAAAGATAGATAACATCCCCACTGTAGCTGCATGAAAGCTGGGTGTGAAAACGAGTCCTTGAAATCAGTGATCTGGTTGAATAATCTTTGTAAATTGCCTTGAGGTGACATGTGTTGTGAATTGGTGCAATATAAATAAACAGAATTAAATTGAACTAAACAAATAAAAAATATTTCTGCAGACCGCACAAATCCTGGACATATAGTGTTGGAATTGAACTTTCAGGTTGTGTGTTAAAAGGGGGGGGGGCTCTTTTTTTATGTATTTAATGAGTAAAGTGGAATTGAAATCAAATCCCTTGTCAGAAAAGCTGATTCTGATCATTAAGGATCAGATAGCCATCTTGGCAGCAATATAAATGTTTTTATGCGTTTATCTGAACATTATATTGAAATATCAGCTGCTACGTTCATCATTTGATCTGGTAAATAAATTCAGTCAGATGATCAGCTGAACAAGAAAAAATCCTTGCAGCCCATTAATCAGCAGGCATTTTCCGGTAGTTTTTATTGCATTATTGCTCAGTGATGTTGCCAACAGTGTAAGCTTTTGTCATTTAGCTTAATAAAATAGTAGCTTCCAAAATTCCTTGATTATTTGAGTTTACTGAGGGACATTTGCTTCTCAGTTTGCATGGTGTCATCAAACAACTCGGATCTGTGAGAGCTTATGATAAAATCCTTAGAAAAATAACATACAACCTAATTCAAAGTGATGTATGTACAATTTTATGAACATTTATTCATAATTTCATTGCATTAAAAGATCAAAATCAAATATTTAAAAAACAGTTATATTTGAAGTGTAGTATTTAGTAGCAGTAGAGATCCCTGTTATTATTTCCATTAAGTTGGGATCAGTTCTTGTCGCTGTAAAGTTTAGCTTCCAGCAGTAAACATGGACTGATCGTCTTGGTGCAGCCGAATGAAAACACAGATGTAAACAGTGAACAGGTGGCTATTTGAATAGCATAAACAAAAACAATTAGCAGGTTAAACCTCGAAACTGCGACTTACCTGAACTATCTGCAGATTTGGGTCCAGTTTGACTCAAGGTTTCTCGCTGTTTTAGAGAAAAAAATAAACATAAGAAGCTAAGAGCTTGCTGGCAGGCTAAGCAGCTCCATCTTCAGATGCTAACTTAGCTCTAGCTCTCAGCATGAAGCAGCTCTCACCACACTCCGTCGGTCGGTACCTGCATAATACTAATGCGGCACACGGTCAAAGTGAGCAGTGCCAGCCCCGGCGGTGAAGGTGGGGAGGCCAGAGAAGCTGCATGTGACCCACCGAGACGTTTATCCAAACAGTTTGCAGCTTTGCTTCTGCTGCTGCTCTGCAGGACAACACTTCCGCACCGAGAGGACAGAGCTAAGGAAGCCGACGAGGGAGAATTGGAAAATGCAACGAGGACAAACTTCCACTCCACATATCCTTAACATTAACTATATCCCAAACCTAAATACTTAAGAATAACAGTAAAAAAAAAAAAAAAAAGATAGTTATTACTCCTCATAGATATTGGCAGCTAAACTCTAACTTCCCTGCAAAAGTCACCAGGGAATGTGATAGGAATGCAATGTCAAACAAGCAGTGTCTTCAAAACATACTAACAACAACAACTAACTAACAACAAATATAACAAATTTAAGATCTTCTAGTAGTGCTATTGGTTCAGTCTGTCTTGTAAAGCAGCAACACTTGGTTTGTCATTGATGTGTTTCATGCAAAGAAGCAGAGGCATAGCCAGAAAATTTTTACAAGGGTGGCCATGGCCATCCCTGACCCCCCATCTAGCTCCACCATTGCAAAGAAGTATACAAAATAAGTGATTAATTCATATTCATTCAAACTCCATCCATCCATCCACCCATTTTGCATCACACTTACTTCAAGCGGGGTCGTGAGGTGGGGTACACCGTGGACACATCGCCAGTCCATCAGAGTTTATTCAAATTCTTTATATTTTATTTATCCATCCATCTTCTACCACTTGTCCATTAGGGTAATGGGTTGCTGATATCCATAGGCATAATATAAGAGTAGGGCCCGCATTGACTGTCGCGGTGCAGAAATTACAGGCGCCATCTTGGGGAGGTCGACCTGCTAACCTAACCTGCTGCTTTAAGCAGAACAGAAGAACGATGCTTCAGCACTACAGCATATTTTTATTTAAATCAACACACTGTTGACATCAGTCATCGAGGTATAACTTCATGAAGGCATAAGAGCTTTGCAAGACATTACTAAATAAACAGCATATATACACTACATAGAGCAGAAACTCCCTTTGTTGTCCCACAGTAGGTAAATTGTGGAGTTACAGCAGAAAAAGTTTACAGCAAAAATGGTCACACAAATGTGGCCCCTAAAAAGTGTATAAAAATAATAGAATAAGTGAGAGTTAAAAAATATATATGCAATCCAATTTTATTTGTTATTTTCTTTATAAAAAAAAAAAAAACAAAGCTGACCAAAGTGCTGTAAAGAAAAATACATAAATAAGTAAAACATAAAACACAATAAATAAAAAACAAAACAGCTAAAACATGGGTAAAAATAACACCTACATAAAATATAAATAGATATAAAAAATTAACAAATAAAATACTGTACAGAACAGGTTTTTATACAAATATAAATACTATGCATCTGAAGAATAGATAATCAATATACGGCTTTGGACATTTTTGCAGTATTTGTGCTTTGTCACATACATACATCCTATCAGAACATTCTATTACTCTTAATTCAACTAAAAATATTTAAATAAACTGAAGCATTTGTTTGTTTTCAGAAAAAAAAATGTTAAAATTAGTTCAATATTCCGAAAGTTAAAGTTGATTCAAATTGATTCTGTTCCTGCTCAATGCATTACAGAGCGGAGCTGATGACAGCCCCAAGATGGCACCACCAAATCACATCAGCGCTCATAGGTGAAAGCGATCGATGCTGGGTCTACTCTTATATTATGTCTATACTATATCTATCTGGAGCAGTCTTTGGGCCTAAGGCAGGTGCATCCTGAACAGGTAGACAGCACAGCAGGCGCGGAGCTAGATGGGGGACCACGGGTGGCCATTGCCACCCTCAGCCAATCAGTGGCCACCCATATATACTCTCAAGGGGAATGTTCAAACTTATTAAACATTTAAATTTTTCATATATTAACAACTACTTGACAACTAAAACGCTGTGTTTATTCATATCAAAATACTAATATTAAAGTTGATATAAACAAAATTCATGCTCTTTTCAGAACTAGATTTTTGTGTTATATGAGGGAAAGAGAGAATTATGTCTCAGCAAGTCACCTAGGTAACTACTTCAATAATAACCTAAAAATCTATTTAATGTAGATATTAATACATATAAATATATATATATTTTTTGCAGAACAATTTTTGGTAAAAGTAGGTAAGTAATGACGATGGAGAAGATGTTCGCCTCAGACTTTTTTTCCTGTACACCTTTAATTAGTCAGCACAGATATTTAAATATATGCGTCTATTTGTTAGGAAAGGCTGTAGGAAAGTATAGTTTGTCTTTATTTACAAAATATGGATGTTGTGGTGGTTCCTTTTGGAACAGTGTAGATTGACCCTTAGGTTCTGGTGCCTATTCGCTTTCGGCCACCCCCCAGTGTAAATTGGTGCCTGGCCACCAATCAGCTCTAGCGACAATTTAGAGCACCTAAACATAGCAGTACTGATTTTGTTCTGTGGGAAGAAACCAGGGTACCCAAAAAGAATCTATACATGCAGGAATGAGAACATGCAAAGCATGCAAACGCCTTCCAGAGTGAGCCTAGCCTGGGGGGCCATGATCAGCTTTAGCCAATCTTTGGACACCCCTACCAGATGATTTGTTCTTCCTATGTGAGTGTAACCCCCCTCAAAAATGTCACAATTTATTATTCATAATATTATACTACAAATAAAGAGGTATATTAACCAAATGAGTGCTCTTTTAATAATTAGTATGTTTTATGGGGGAGAGTTTGTCTCTGCAGGCATCTAGGACTCTTCTATGTAATTAGATATAAAGAATTACTAAAGCCATTTAATGTAGAGGATGTAAAAGATGTAAAATCATAAATCAAATTAAACTGCACCAATGTTTTTATCTAGAACCTTATGAGATCTAGTCTTTCCTCAGTGATTTATCTGGAAAATACAGGTTAGATGTTCCTGTTAATCTTCCTATTGGTTCATTGTGATCAGTGTAGATTGACCCTGAATTATCGGCCATCCTCCTCAGTGCACAGTTCTTTGGAACCCGGCCTCTGTGTGCAAATAATATCTAATGAGTAAATGAATTACAGAGAGATAGTTTACTCTCTCTTTCAAATTATTTTTGTTTACAAAACTTTCCCCATGTACACAGATAAGCGCAATAACATTTTCACTCAGTACTTTGCCATTGTAAGCTCAATGTTGGAAGTGGCATTAAGTATTTGTTAAGAGTAGATAACTTATGCCTCATAAAAGGCTCTGCTGCTCTGGAATCAGACCTCTCCCCATCAGACTGCACAGATATAAGACAAGCTCCTAAATAGGCAATTTAAACACCCTCTCTCCCTCTGCCCCTCTTTCTGTCTCTCTCTCCCTCTCTCTCCCCTCTCTCCCTCTCTCCCTCTCTCTCTCTCTCTCTCTCTCTCTCTCTCCCCTCCCTCTCTCTCCCCTCCCTCTCTCTCTCTCTGGGCGTGAAGCTCCAAACTTCCTCAGCCATTGAGAGGCAACTCCCTAAATAACCCTGGGAAGCCTGCACGCGAAGGGAAAAATGGCTGAATTGTTTTCACCGATTACTCGACAGGTTTCAAGGGAAAAGTTTGACGCTGGAACCCAAAATCTGAAAGATATTAGGCTCAAGGATGTCGAGGACTGTTTGATTTACGACCGTCTTGGAGTCTCTTTCCCTTTCAAGAACTTATATCAAGACAGCAAATCCGTCATCATTTTTGTCCGGGTGAGAAAGACAGAAAAACAAAAACATGCAATAGAAATAATATGGCTTCTGTATAGTTTTCCATTGTCTTGTAAAAGGTATTCTTCAGGTGAGCCTAAGCTCTGCTGTTAACATGAGGAATTTCATATGAAAATAAAAACGGGATGAAGATCTCGTAGTTTTGCTCTCCTGTTCTAATAACATCTGCTTATAAATAACATAAATCCTGTTTGTCTGTGCAGAATTTCTTATGCTATAGCTGCAAGGAGTATGTTGAAGATTTGAGCAAAGTGCCCAGAGAAGCGCTGGAGGTGAGTCCTGACCTATTGAACCTGCATTAATCCCATCAGCCAATCAGATTTTCTGTTGTATCATGTTGACAGTCTACAACAAGACTGTTAAAAGTGATTCAATGTGTCTGTGCAGGAGGCGGGAATTCGACTGGTTGTTATAGGTCAGTCATCTCATCAACATATAGAGGTAATCAAATCTATATAAATCTAATAGGAATAATGCATGATGACGCTACCAGAAGAGACATTTAATTTAATTATTTCAAATGGATGTTTAAAGTGTTTACATTAATGTCATCCTGGAAAACTTTTCAGCATATTGTCAGGCTATATCATTATAACCTTTGGTTTAATTTATGGGATGTGTGTGAATAACCAGTACAACATTGTGAATGATTAATGTGGAAAATAAATCATGCAAAAACAAAAAAATCTATAGTAATCATTTGCATTCAGCCCCTTTTAATATAATTATCCTAAATAAACCACCACATGTTTCTATTAGAAGTGACCTCATTAGTTAATAAAGCATCATGTGTGTAATTTATTCTGCTGTGAAAAAACAATTATCTGCAAAATAGGGAATTAAGAACTGGATGAGACATTAAACAGTTATATTAAACTTGTGTGGAAGGAGAAGGATGGCATAGTCTGATATCAATCAAGTCTGATCAATTCAGTCATTTTTAATAGCTTCTTGTTGTTTTTGTTTTTTTTATTTGTTCATAAATGTCTTTATGATTAATTATGGCTTAATTCTTCTTTGTCTTTGTGTTCCTCTCTCTTTAATTCAGCCTTTCTGTTTGCTGACAGGCTATTCTCATGAAATGTATGTGGACCCCAAAAGAACAATTTACCTTAAGCTGGGGATGAAGATAGAGGAGACATTCACTGACTCTGGTAATTATGTAAGATTTAAAAAATGTTACTGCTAGTGTCAGATTAAAAAGATAATAGACGTCAGGGTCAGGGTTGGGATGTTTAGATTAGATCTTGGCTTTGAATGATTTACATGTTAGTTTTCCTTCATTAACCACAGATAAAGGGATGGAGATTCTTTGTGGCACAGTCAAATATTGAGATGTGTTTCTGTGTTCCCAGCGCTGACCAGCCCCCATGTGAAGTCTGGTTTATTCATGGGCCAAATAAAGAGCATATGGAGGGCCATGACCAGCCCTGCCTTTGACTTTCAAGGTGATTTGCATCAGCAGGGTGGAGCCATGATCGTGGGACCAGGTACAGTAAGGTGTCTTCTCTCTTTATCATACCTTCTCTCATCTTTAAAAATAAATCATATTTTCCCCTCTTTTCTCTGCAGGCTCCCAAGTCCATTTTTTCCATTGTGACATGAACCGATTGGATCACATGCCCATCAACTGGCTCCTTGAGCTCGCTGGAGTTAAACAGACCTTTGACTTTAACAATAAACCTAAAATTATCCATGTGTAGCATCAACCCCCACCCCACCAGAGAGCTTTACTGTAAATATATAGCTACAATTCCATGATATGCAACCTTTTCCTTCACTTATTATAGGTTGCTAAGCTTGTATTTCTTGTCATAATGCAATTGCAGCTCATTTATAAGAAAGAAACTAGACGGAGGCACCCAATATCAGTTTAAGTAACAAAAAAAAACCTTATATAGCATTGTAAAAGAAACCATTTTTCAGGATTATATCATTTGTAATAATAAATGGATAATCTAGTTAAAGGTGGATTATCTGGTGACTATATTCATCAGAGTTAAGATGTTCAACATTTCGGTGTTACTCATTTCTGTCAAGCTGATGGGAGGCGTTTCCTTTTTTTTATGGAAGAAAGTAAATTGATGTAAGTTCTTGTGATATTTATCTTGGATCTTAGAGTGAATGTGTTTCTTTCCGGTCTTTCAATTTGAAAAAAAAAAACTTTTTTTACTGTAAAGAGTATTTCCATTATTTTCATCCATTAACAAGTCTTCTCCCTGGGGCTTTACTTGAACAACACCCCTCATGTCCCCCTGAAACGAAAGAGTTGCTGTTCTCAGAGTGTTATGTGATGCATAGCAAATCCAGCATACCCGTTGTCAACTTGGACACAAACTTCACTTAATAATCTGTATTAATTTGGTCTAAATCAGCTAATTGGTTCGTGAAACATCCCTGCAGTTGTTTAAGGTGTTTGTAATGTTCGTTTCTGATATCTAGAGTCTGAAGCCGGAAATGTTGGACGGACCTTTTTTAAATTTTTTTTTATTCATAGCTGCAGGAATGAGTTCACAGCAAACGTTTTAAAGCTACATGCTTAAAAATTGGAAAGATGACCAAGCACCAGAGATAATGAGATCAAAATGACCAGTACTAGTTTGCATGAATTATAATGACTCAAAGATAAAGAGTACACTGAATATTTAATTTTATTTTTTTTTTTATCCATATTTACTTGCAATGATGTGTCATCATTTTTATATGCAAATCTGGATAAGATCAGAATTTCCCTTCTGTCTATACCATAGCTGCTGTATGGTTCATGTGCTTTTTTTAGACTATCAAGAAAATTTTAAGCTATGACATTTTTGTAACCAATTTATTACATGTCTGTGTTTTTGGGCTGGTTATGCAGTTCGTTGCAGGGTAACATTCACATGGTCCAAGGAAAAGCAGTTTTTCTTTAGGATTATTTTAAGAAAAGCAGAATTGGACCAATCTATGTAGTTCTGAAAACAAACATCTCAAACTCTGCCCTGCAAATGTGGTCATACTGAACTTTATCATATGTTTTCATATTTTAACCACAATCATCACTTTACTTTCATTTATTTTTTTAATCTACCGACTCAAGTATTGTATAACTGTGAAGTGAAAAATATGCATTGTTTTTCATTTTATTTCATGAATAAAAATCTTAAAGGTGTGGAGAGAATTTGTGTTCAGGCCCCCAGACAAATTTTTTTTTTCAAACCACCTTTACCACAATTAAATCTATAGGCCTTTTGGGGGAAATGCCTTACCACATTCTGGTTCAAGATCACTTAGATTTGGATAGCTCTTTTCGGAACTAGATTTTGTGTTTCATGGGGTAAAGAGAAAATGTGTCTCTGCAAGTCATCTGGGAGTCTTCAGTGAAGTCATAGATAAAAAACAATATTACGGTAATAAAAACTTTTAAAATAATTCATTTATGTAGAGATTAGTGCTTGTAAATATCAATTTTAAGCAGAATGTTTATTGATACAAGTGGTAGGGCTGGGTAAAAAAAAATCGATTTTGAATCGATTCCTTTACATTTTTGCAAAATCGATGTCTAGGGAATGAGATCGATTCATTTTGTAGTGACCTGCGTGACGTTCACATTCAAATGCGCAGGAAAGATGCATTCATGATTACTTCAAGCCAGACAGCTGCAAATATACCCAATAGGTTGACTGAAGACATTAACAAATGGGGGCTGACCAGAAAACATCCTTTAGTTGTTACAGACAACGCTGCAAATATGGTTTGTGCAATGGAGATAATGCAACTCATGCATTACTGCTGTGTCACGTCTGCTTGCTCGAGTAAGGCTTCACTTTTTCACTTTTCACAAACAAGTTTGCACTTTTGAGACAGTTTTATTCACATCTCGAGTTTAAACTATCTGATTTACAAGTTTGCACTTTTTGTTTAATGTGACAGGAAAAAAACAAAATAAATGAGTATTTTGAAACACAGTTGAACCACTTTCATTATTGTAAAAGCAGATCGAATCGAAATTAATCGATTTAGAAACTTATTAATCAAAATCGAATCGATTCAGGACTTTGGCGAAAATACCCAGCCCTAACAAGTAGGTAAGTAATGACGATGGAAAAGATTTACGCCTCAGACCTCAAAACTGAAAGAATTTTATCCACTATACCTTTTATTCATATATGCGTCTTGTTAGCAAAGGCTTTCGGAATTTATAGTTAGCCTTTATGTAGAAAATATGGATGTTTTGCTCGTTAATTTTCCTGTTGGACAAGACATCCCAAGTTCCAAAAACTAATTTCAGGGAGATGCTTTTCCCCCAACCCCCCGCGGACAACGGATCCGCACCGTGCCCCATACATACAAACTAAAGGCCAGCAACATTTCAACAGCTGTTTATTAACTAACAGTAATTTCTTAAACACAAAACAGAACAGTATTGGTGTTTTATTTTTAATACTTTCAATCACACATAGGTTGTGCTTTCTATTTTTCATGGGACTTCAGCATACAGTGCACCTCGCCACTGTGTCATCATTCCTCACCATGGCTGGTTCTAGACAGGGGCCAACGGAGGCCAGTGCCCCTGTAGATCATTTCCTGGCCCCTGTTATGGCCGCTGTACTGAAGACATATTACTTACAAGAAATTCTAATGATGATCTCCGCTGGGACAGACATGATTACTGATAGGTCCTTTGGATCTATTTCATTCTTCTTCTTTACAAATTCTGTTTTACTAATTATTAAAAAACAATAAGGTGATAGCTTCAGTGGGATTGACATAGCATCCCAGTTTTCATCCGTTAAATTTTTTCCCCCACATATAAAAAAAAATTTGCTCTAATTTTTTTAGATGAATTTAAGTTTTTCTTGAGTTCCAAATCAATTTTTAGAGAAAATGGTAGTTTTAACTTAAATTAAGTCAAAAAAATGTGTAAAATTCCTACATTTTAAATGTATATTCATCTCATAAGAAATAGAACTTTTATTGAACCTAATTGAAAAGAAATTTACCTTCATGCAGCTCTCTTAATATATTTGAATCCCTTGCCCTGTTTTTTATTTCATGCTTTTCTGTTCCCCCATGAAAACACGCTGCCCCCCTCCTGGCCCCCTGGTACATTTGGTCTAGATCCGCCTCTGTTCCTCACCTTCACTAGATGTGGATATACTTTAGTATACTCTGCTGTAAAATTAGTCCTATATTTTCGTTTTTTACTCGAAGATTCAACCTCTGCCGTTTCACACGATGCACAGCTTTGAGTGGTAACTTAGTGACTGCCAGAGAGTAACCCAGAGAAACTTATCGGACTGATCCAATCAGCTTTCTGACAACCAGTCGTCTGGAACGCTGGTGGAACAGAGCATCACTTTGGACAGATACGCTGCGCAGATTTCACCAGCAACCTCCTCCCTACACCCCGATCTCTCTTGTTGTTCCTGCACGATCAAAGCAGTTCTAATCTGCACATGATGCACAAATTATTGCTTGCCCGCTCTCACACGCATTAAAAAAAAACACCTCGCAGAGTGTAAAATCTGGGATAATTTATCCAAATCGCGGACATCCGTGAACAACTATCGATATCAAGTCTTCCCAAGTCTCCCGGAACTTCCGGGAGACTTGGGAAGTCTGAAATTGACCGTGAGGTTCTGACCCCTATCCGCTTTCGGCCCCCCTTCTCAGTGTACATCAGCCCTTATGAAAATGTTCTGGCTACGCCTCTGCTTATAATCCAGATTTCTAAACTGCTGGTGGACTGATTTCAGAACACAGATCTTACATTTTCTATGTTCTGGTCATGTTTACAATTAAATTCAGTTTCACTTCATGCTTTACACTTTCCTTAAACTATGTGTTCTAACTGAGTGTCAAACACTGCAGCTGCTTTAGGGTGCTTTAATCCCGATACGTCACTTGCAGGGGATTCAGAAATCAGAAACCTGCCCCTACTCAAAGACGTCACCACCACAGAGAGAGGCTGGAGCAGCCACCTCTACCTCGGTTTGACACAACAGCAACACGCAGATCAGGAGCAAAGCCATGTTACATTAACAGCCAGGAGGATATATCTGCAGAAGGCTCGGGGAATGTCCTTCATGCTGCAGCTCCCGAGGAGAGAATGAAGCGCAAAAACGAGAAGAGGCGAACCGAGTCCAGGAAAAAACGCCGCGCAGCCCACAGCAGCCCAGAGGCGGAGCCAAACTCTGATATTTACATTGAGATAACAGGTAAGAGCGCTCTGCACACTGAATGAACCCTGGCAACTTTCCAGGCACTTGGTCAGTGGATGGACACCTGCGAACACTGTGTCCTTTTAAAACAAAACACTCTCTGTTTTTTTTAGTTTTGCCCCCAATATGGCGACAGCGTCGGTCCTTTATCTAGCAGGATTGTAGGGAGTCATCTTTGTAACATGCATAATAATAACAATACACTATGTAATATACACTATGTAATTTATATTTGGCGTTTATGACAATGAAATCAGTCAGTTTTCTAAAACATTATCTTAAATGTGTCTCCTTTAAACCGATCGTGTTCTACATGCGCACAATGCGTATGATATGTTTGTGATGTTAAACAGTAATCCCGACGTCGGTTCCTCCTGATTTTTTTTTTAAAAAACCTTTACGACGTTTCCTGGTTCCAGTTCATCCTTCATCTCAAGTCTGACAGAAAGAGGGTTTGTCTTAAGTGGAAACAACAAATCTGACTGGCTGACAGATCGTCCTAGCAACCGCTTTGGCAACTATCCCGGGACCTATCATGTCGCTCATGAAGAGAACTTTAAACTAAAAGAGGCGGGGACCCAACGGAAGTGACAGTTCCTTCCTCCAATCAGGTGGAAGCCCTGGATCTGTCTCAGCCAATGGCGTCTCAGCTAAGCTTTAAGGGGAGGAGTCACGCGGGGAGGTTTGGGGATCGGTTTTTAGCAGAGTGCGCACTTAAGATCTAAAGTCTGCTTCGCTTCTCAGATGGTGACTGTCTTCTTTTTTTTTTAAACATTGCAGGATTAGAAAAGAAACATTAAGTCAAACTTATTTCAATATAACTGATATTACGTTTTTTTAGGGAAAAATAATAGTTTAGGTGTTAAAGCGACTTGCATGTTTTTCGTGAAGGAATCTGCTTAAGGTGAAAAACGTCATGCTCGGATCTGCTCGCAAAATGACCTCAGACGATGTTTTCTCCAAATGCATCGAGTTCATTAAGGGTATGTTACAAGAAATGTTCAATAAGTGCGTGGAAAAGCAGTTGGGAGAAAAGTAAATAAGTTGGTTGTCTTTTTTGTCTCCCTGCCCCCTCCTTCCTTCTCTCCTCAGATCAACTATATTTTGCCATTCTTCAGCAAAAGATCAAAAGCACAGCTGACCGACACTGCTTCTGCATAGATGAAGAGCTCGCATATGAGAAGTAAGTGCTTTGTTTAGGATATCAAACTGGTAATTATAGTTTTATAACAAGGCAAACATTTTAAAGGCAATATATCAACATTTTTCAGCTGTGTTTATGAGATTTAAATTGATTATTGGAATCAAGTGTTATGTGATAAGGAGGAGAAGAAATAAAGATTAATGCAGGTTAAAGTTAGCCAATAGTGATGACTTCGCCTAGGAATTGTGAACTTTGGCATCTGTCCATAAAAGTGTCAAAAAAAAAGAAGAAACAGATTAAATGTTGAATTTGAGTTCATACATTTCAGATTTATACTAGGAATGCAACATGTGTAATAGCTGGATTACAGGTCAAATACAATCTGCAGTCCAATAATTTATTATGGATATGGCTCAGATAAAGAGGAAAAAAAGATGCTGATAAGTTGATTGTCAGTAAATAACATACAAAATGTTGTTCTAGCTAATATTCTCCTTAAAAAAAAATAAAGTGCTTCAAATGAAGACAGTTTGGGTGAAGGGTCATCTGTTTTCAGAAGCGTAGCCAGAGCATTTTAATTTAGGTGGCCAGGCATTAACCAATGTACACTGAGGGGTGGCCGAAAGTTGATAGGCACCAAAACCGCAGGGTCAATCTACACTGTTCCAACAGGAAAATTAACTGACAAAAAAATCCATATTTTCTAAATAAAGACAAACTATACTTTCCCACAACCTTTGCTAACAAAAAGAGAAATATATTCCTATATCCGTGCTTTCTAGATAAAAGGTATAGTGGATGCA